ATTATTTGGAGTATTTTAGCACTTATGACATATGTTTATGATTTAGTGATTGGTATCAATTGTTTTTGGTGGTTGCTTATTTGATTTTTGTCATTTTTGTGCACCTTTAGCGCAGAACGTTCATGTTTTATTATGTATGGCTATAACTGTATATTATTCACAAAGTTATAGTCTGCTTGCTAATTTGATTTACATTGTTTTTCATGTTGTAAGTACTGCTGCAATTGTTACTATCAGCTATTGCAAGTGAAATAATGCATATAAAAAGAAAGTATCAGAATGCATAAATACAGGTCCTGCAGAAAAGGAATTAACTATCATTCTATTTATTTATTTATTCATGTATTTGTTGAACTCACCAGGAGACCAAGTGCATATAGCAGACAGATCAATCAGAGTTGCAGCTCTCTGTGGGGGTTATTTACTAAAACTGCATGGTGCAAAATCTGGTGTAGCTCTGCATAGAAACCAATCAGCTTCCAGGTTTTATTGTCAAAGCTTAATTAAACAAACTGAAGTTAGAAGCTGACTGATTACCATGCACAGTTGCACCAGATTCAGAGTGCTCCAGTTTTAGTAAATCTCCCCCTTTGTATCTATCAGGGTTGCTTGTACAAATACACAGCCTTGCCTATGGGTCTGCAGCACTGTGTGAGCTTTCACTCTTTAGCCCTCGTGCACACTTGACGGTTTTACAGCGGCTGTTTTTGGCGTTTGATGCTTTTTTTCTACAGTCAATAAACTCCCCAGCATATTATCCTATGTGTCCATGCACACATAACTTGTAATCAACGTTTTTTGGCAGGAAAAAAACACCAAAACTAGTGTTTTTTAAAAAAAAAAACGCTTTAACACTGAAAAATGCAGTAAAATGTGGTAAGACGCGGTAAAAACGCTGCAAACTGGCATTTTTGGACCTTTTTTACCGAAAAAAACACAAAAAAAAATGCAAATGTGGAAAAACGCTGCTAAATGTGGCAAAACAGCGCTAAACGCTAATGCAAAAAATGCAAAAAAAGGCTGAAAATTTTTTTTACACAGCTAACGTTACCAGCGTTTATTAAAACGTACAGTGTGCATGCAGCCTCATGAATGAGCAATCAGTGATGTCAGGTCATGTAAGAAAAGTCCATTGCATGCTCATAATTCTTAAAAGCTCACTGCAAGACATGTATTTATACATATACATATTGATGTGCACCAGTCTATATATATATATATATGGATTTTTTTTTCTCAGAGAATAGGTGCAGGAACCCCCCTTTTCAGAGTCACCCTTTGCCTCCACCCCCTACCCACCTCTGAGCACCGTCTCTTAGTTCTACCCCCTACACACCTAACAATACCGCCCCTTTTTGAGAATATAGAACCAAGTACCATTTTGTGGTGCTACGTATTTTTTTTTTTTAATGATAACAAGAAAAACAGTAAAATAGATTCCCTGCAGCCAGAAATAATAGAAGGCCCCCAGCAACAATAGATCTCATGACATTAGACCCCCAAACAATAGACTCCACCAACAACAATGGACCCCTGCAACAAAATACCACCCCAGCAACAATAGATCCACCCCAGGAACAACAGACCCCAGCAGCAACAACAGATCTCCCAGCAGCCAGCATCATTAGAACTCAACAGCAGAACCCTCCCAGCAATAACTGACCCCCACCCCCCAGAATTATAATACTCCTCTCCCCCCAAAAACGATATTTCCCACCTGCAACAATAGATCCCCCCAGGAATAATAGACTCCCCCAGCAACAACGAGTCCTCTTCAACAAAATACCACCCCAGCAGCAACAAATCCCTTGCAGCAACAACAGATCTCCCAGCAGCCAGCATCAATAGAACTCTCCCTCAACAGCTGATCCCACTCAGCAACAATTGACCCCCAGCAACATAAGACTCCTCCACCCGGGCAACTATAGATCCTCCACCCGAGCAACAATAGACTTCCCAGCAACAATAGACCACCACGCAAAAATAGATCCCTGACAACTACAATATATCCCCCAGAAACAAGCAACAACAGATTCTCCAGAACACCCTAGCACCCCTTGCTATTACATACACTCTACTGGAGGTGCCGAAACTGCGTTCCCCATGTTCCTGCTGAAAAAAAGCCCTGTATATGTATATATATATATATATATATATATGTAAAACTATACAAGCTGGATTCTGACATGAACAGATAGCTAAGTGAGTTTCAGCATATTTTTGATTCATCTGTGACCTGACCTGCTACGGTTGCCCTCTTGTGAGATGGGTTGAAGACTCTCAATTTATCAATCCCTTCATTGATAAAAAAAAAATATAACTTCAAATTTGTTTATTCACTGTCTGAGCAGATGTCAGATAGTAAACTGCTCAGAATCTCTGCTGTCTTTCATTAACCCCTGTAGTACTATGCCAAATAGTGGGACATACCTAATTGTGGGGTACAGGAAAAAAGGAGAACAGTCCAGCATAGTAAACCCATAGTAAACCAAGGCTGAAAGATTTTCAGGGCTCAGCAAGCTCAGGAGCTGACAGTGCTTTAGGAAAATGAGTAGTAAAAGAGAAAAAGTAAAGTTGTAAGAGAGTGAGGATGAGAGAACTTGGGTAGTCAGAGGACAGCGGTCAGGAAAAAAGTAGGACTGGAGCTTTGATTGTGCCCTGAGGTTGTAACCTGTATGTGTTGAAGTATTTTTTTACAAACCCAAACAGGAATTTCTCTCTTTTTTACTGTACATTATAGACTGAAGTCACATGTTAAAAGTGGTGCACAGCACAGTAAAATGTTACTAAACCCACAACAGTAGAATCAGTCTGTATATGCAGTAACACATGCTTGTTATACTCAATGTGGAACTTAATGGGTTAATCCTCTGCATTGTATAAAATGGATGTTTGTTCCTGTTTTCTCAGATCCTCCCCATATTCCATGTTCCCCATTTCATATCCTGATAGAACAGAGCCTTGGAGGCAAGCTGCACATGTTCAGTTTGGTGTGTACTGCTAAATTGTTTTTTCTTTTTCTTGGAAGGGCGCATGTGACCAGTACAGGGCCAATCAGCACAGTCTAGACAGAGGGCCAGGGGTTATGCAATCTCATAGGTCAGTGAGAGGAGAATGAAAACTCCTCCTACAAGCTTTAACCAGTGCTCAGTTGGACACTGATAGACGTCACAAAACTGCTATATAAAAGGTATTTAGCAGTTTATATTTACTTAAATAATTGTATTTCCATGTTGTGTGTACTGTGGGAGACCAGATATAGTGAATGCAGGGTCCTGGGTTTAGTAACACTTTAAAGATAGTTTGTGGGTGGATATGGTTTTACAAGCCATCAGACTAACAAGGAACAACAATAATAAAAGTAATATTTTTCAACAGCAGTAACTATGTGCAAAAAAGGTGCCCATAAACATTAGGGTAGATTTACTAAAACTGGTGTACTCAGAATCTGGTGCAGCTGTGCATGGCTGACAATCAAATTCAGCTTGTCCAATTAAGCTTTGGCAATAGGACCTGGAAGCTGATTGGTTTCTCTGCAGATTTGCACCAGATTTGGCACTTTCCAGCTTTAGTCGATAACCCCCCTTGTGATGTGTTGTCTAATAATGGTATAATCTCTAAACATTTCGACTATATATTAATATGTTTACATTACTTAGAAATATGGCTTGGAGCTATGCTTGCTATTAACTTCTAGAAGCTCTTACGCCTTTTCCATGAAGATAAGAAAATGTGTAATTTCAATAATAACAGCTGAGATTTTTGTCATAATTAACACTGGTAATAAAAGCATTCTTTGTGTATGAAAATGCCCTCTCCAGTCTCTATAAGGTCCCCAAAACAAAGCCTTCTTTTTCTGTGAAAACTTATTGTATACCTTGCCTTTAGGTTTCTCGGTATTACAGCGGTAGATTCTGTAACCCTTTATCACTCAAAATCAATAGACCATTGTACTGAAGATTTATTTCAAGATGAACTTCAGGCAAATAATTAAAAAGGTAGATAGTAAATAAAAGAACTATTTAATCCAGTTTTTCCTTCTTTTAAACACATGCATGTATTTTTATGTGGAGCTAGTAAAATAGAGTCTGTCTTCATATCAGCTTCCTGTAATCTCCTGCACAGCTGAACTCAGACATGTCACACACTTCCAATGTATCCGAAAATTTTCCGAAGGAATATGGAGAAGTTATGATGAAATGTTTTTTGTGATCTAATTTCATTAAAGGGGATTTCCATAAGGTGAATTACTGTATATGCGGATTAAATGGGAAGCCGTATGGATCTTTACAGTGAATTATAGATAGGGTTTAAATTTACATACTTAACCACTTGCCTACAGTGCACTTATACCCCCTTCCTGCCCAGGCCAATTTCCAGCTTTCAGCATTGTTGCACTTTGAATGACAATTGCGTGGTCATGCAACACTGTACCATACAACATTTTTATCATTTTTTTGTGACAGAGCTTTATTTTGTTGGTATTTAATCACCTCAGGGTTTTTTTATTTTTTTCTTAAACAAACCAAAAGCCACTGAAAATTTTGAAAAAAAAAAAATTTTTTCTTAGTTTTTGTTATAAAATTTTGTAAATAAGTGATTTTTCTCCTTCACTGATTTGCGCTAATGAGGCTGCAGTGATGGGCACTGATAAGCTGCACTGATGGACACTGATAGGTGGCACTGATGGGCACTGATGAGGAGGCACTGGTAGGTGGCACTGATGGGCATTGACAGACATCACTGATAGGCACAGAAAGGCAGCACTCATATATGGCACTGATAGGCTGCACTGACTGGCACTGGTAGGTGGAACTGACTGGCACTGTTAGGCAGCACTGATAGGCAGCACTGACGGGCACAGATAGGCAGCACTGATGCACACTGATAGGCGGCATTGACTGGCACTGATAGGTGGCACTGACTGGCACTGATAGGTGGCACTGATTGGCAGCACTGATAGGTGGCACTGACTGGCTTTGATAGGTGGCACTGACTGGCACTGATGGGTGACACTGAAAGGCAGCTCAGATGGGCACTGATATGTGGCATTGATGTGCACTGGTAGGCACTGATATGTGGCATTGATGTGGCACTGGCAGGTGGCATGGATGAGCACTGACAGATGGCACTGATGGACACTGACAGGTGGCACTGCTGGGGCTACACAGATCATCAGGGCACACTGATCATCAGTGCCCTGATGATCAGTGCACATGTCCCCTCTGAGGGATGCCGATTACCGGCTCTCCTATCCTTTCGAGCTGTCAGCGTGACAGCTCATGAGGAGAGAAATGCCGATAACCGGCATTTCCCTATTATATGTGATCAGCTGTGATTGGACACAGCTGATCACATGACCGAGCTGACATCTTCGGTTCTTTCTGTTGATCGGTGATCCGCTGTGTCCAAAGGACACGCTGCATGCTCCCGGAGCTGCGCATGCGCGGTTAGAATGGGACGACGTCATATGACGTCCTCCCAGAACGAGAGAACCGCCTTGCACCCGTTATTGTACTATATGGTGGGCGGGAGGTGGTTAAAGTGTTACTAAACCCACAACAGTTAAATCAGTCAGTATTTGCAGTAAAGCATGCTTGTTATACTCACTGTGGAACCTAATGGGTTAATCCTCTGCATTCTGTAAAACGCTGTTTGATCCTGACTTCTCTGACCTCCCCTTCTTCCAGTGCCCCCCTCTTATCTCTTGATAAAACATATCATGTGGAGTCACTCTACACAAGTTCAGTTTGGTGTATATTGCTAAAGAGGGTTTTTTTTTTCTTTGGGAGAGTGCATATGATCATGACAGGGCCAATCAGCACTGTCCAGACAGAGGTCAGGGGCCCTGCATCCTCCTAGAGCAGAATGAAAACTCCTCCTACAAGCTTTATGTGCTTAGCTGAACACTGATAGAAGTCACAAGACTGCTCTAACTGCTGATGAGAAAAGGTATTTAGCAGTTACTATTTACTAAAATAATTGCACTTCCATGTTGTGTGTACTGTGGGAGACCAGATAAAGTGAATGCAGGGTCCTGGGTTCAGTAACACTTTAAAGAAGAACTCCAGGAATAGGGATTAAGCACTTACTTTGGGCCAGCTTGGCTCAAACAAATTATGCAGATGCCACCACCATTTGGCCAATGGTGAGTCTGTAATATATTGTTGTAGTCTATGCTACATTCAGGAAGTGGTATTTTCTTCTGGTGGGTGCACCAGTTACATTCCTTCTGAGTACTAAATAGTGTTTGCTTTCTTCAGCATATACAAGGCTTCCTCTGATTGGCTGAGATTGGGACGTGGGTGATGTGTGACGAACGCAGTGCCCGACCCCTGCCCTTCTCACCAACAAAAGAACAGCCAATCTCACACCGCGCTGTCACTTGCGTAATAATGCCACTCTCAGCCGCGCCCTCACAAAGATTTTCCAGCTCGTGGGACCATATCTATGTGCCATGAGAGGGATTACAAAATTAATTACAAAATTAACCCTTCAAACTCCAAACTGCCACCAGATAGCTTTGGGCCTATCAACCCTTCACAATGTTAGCAAGAACAAATGTGAACAATAAACGTCTGTAACACACAACTGTCATCACAGACAAGTATATTCAGAGGATTATTACATACAGTAGCACTCTTCAAGAGACAGGGATTTTTTTAGTTTGCATTAAAAGTTTTAGAGACAGTTTCAACACTTTTCAAAATATGGTTTATTATTAAAAAGGTCAAAATGGGGCAATTAAAATATTTACAGAAAAAGATGTTACAAAGATATAAAGAGAACAATAATGCAACAGAGAAATAAAAGAAAGGAGTTAAGAAGTCAGAATACTTGCAAAGTCCTGGTTTTAGCAGAGTTCAATTCTCCGAGCAAAAATGTTGCCTTGGCTCTCAAGTCTGTTAAGATGTTCCATGATTGATGTTAAACGAGAGCTCCCCCTTCATAGAAAGTCCTGTCAGGGATTTTCTATGAAGGGGGTGTTGACAGAGACCAACTGACTAATAACCCAGTGCTTCAGCAATGAGGGTTTTTTGAGTTGGCAGCTCTATCCCACAAGGAGGTGTTTCTGGTACTCCATCATGGCGAAGTGGTACTTTGTGCATAGCCATCTTTTTTGCTGAAGGTTGTTTCAGATTTTCATCTTAATCAGAACTTTGTTTCACCTTCATATTTACCCAGGCCTCGTTTGCCTAAAGACAAACCCTTCATACATTAGATGTGGTTCGAGCTGTCAAGATGTAATTTAAACTGTCTGTGGCAGTCAGGCAGTATGATTTATTGTTCACCGTTTCAAGGTCATAGGAGAGGTCATAGGAGGAGTACTTTCTTAGGTCCTGACAGTGGCTGCCATGTCTTCCTCCTCTCATGTGCATTGCTTTGGGATATCCCAGGTAGTTATGATTTATAGCCTGCTCTATGTCCTGTGATGTACAAAAAAGAAAATCAGATTTTTGTTCTTACCTGTAAAATCCGTTTCTTGGAGTACATCGCAGGTCACAGATGTCCCCCTCCCCTCTTTTTAGGGGTTCTTTGCTTGATACAAAACTGAGGAGCTTGATGAGTAAGAGGTGCTATATAAGGGTTTCTGTCTGTTTTTCCTGTCAATGTCCATTCCCCTATAGATAGTGCATAACCCAGGTAGTTATGATTTATAACCTGCTCTCTGTCCTCAGTACTTACCCGTATAAATGATTTTAGTACAAAAATACAAATATCTTCCATCTTTACAGGAAAGGGTTTATAGTGGACAGTGCAGTTTCCAGCCAGTCTGTAAGTTTAGAGACATGGGAGGTGGGAGGGCAGAGGAATGCCTTGCTATCTTAGGCTATAGAGTGGTTTGTCTCTTTTGATGCACACAGCATAGGGTGACACAACTCTAGTCCCTGCATGCATAAGATGCTGCAGGAGAAAGGAGCCACCCTCAAACAGGAAACCTGGGGAAGCAGTCATGGCACCAGTCTAAATAGGAAAGCAGGCAAGAATTAAAAGATAAAGTAGCTGCACAGTCAGTAAATGATTATATCAGTTGCTAAAAGTACTTAAAGGATAAGTTCACCTTTTGCAACATGTTACATGTTATACCCATGTAGCGCTACCCTCTTGAGGGCCACTGAGTATTTTTGGGTTCCCTGTCTGTCCTGAGCCTGCTTTGGAAGCACAGCCCCTACTGACCAGGAGGACTACCTGGCTTTTAGCCATAAAATGACCGCACACACTGAATATAAAGAATGCAAACACAACAGGAATGACAGTGTATGTGCATAAAAGAAAAGTTAAATATAAAGGTTTAACAAAGTAATAAAACACAGTATCACTATAAACAACCCCAAATGTTCTTCAAGATCAGAATTTAAACATCAATTCCAGCTTCTGAGATGTCTCTCTTTACGTGAGCTGGAAACATTTTATTTAGAAAAAAGATCTTGCGACCAGCATACATTTTATATAAAAGTAAAAAAAATAAATACAGAGAACAACACATCTGGTTAATCAACATAAACATAACTGGGATACTTCTGAAAAAATTAAACACAATCTTTATGACCATATCATCAGAAAAGAATGTTTATAACCTTTTATAGAATGTTATGCCTGCGTGGCGGCCTCTACAGCCTTCACACCAGGAAAGGCACAATGCCACACACAAAAAAATTCACAGCCTTTATAGCTTAACCTTCAACTCCACTTTATCCCCTACAACGGGGAGGTAACATTATTTTACAAACTCAAGGTCCTTATGACCTAATAAGGTACTCAAACATACCCCTCCCACCAAAGGCTAAGAAACCTAGACCTTCAGGACATGTAGCCAATCTTAAAAAAAAGAGTTCAGAAAATCTAGGGGGGTGAAAGAAGAAAGGAAAACAGGACAGTAACCACACCTCGAGATTAACAGACAGAGGTAGTGGAGGAGATTGTGTCCATGGGCAAAAGTATGGGTCTGGACGTTGATGGTGCAGACATAGAGGAGCTTGTTGACGAACATAAGGAGGAGCTGACCATGGAAGAACATTCTGAACTCCACAGTGAGCAGCAGAAGGTGCTTATTGAGGAGCATTCCACTGAGGAAGACAGGGAGGAGGTTAGCAGTGATGCCATAAAATCCATTATGGAAAAATGGAATGAGTGCCATGAATTTTTTGAGAAGCACCACTCCAACATAATTGTAACAAACAGAATGTTGAATCTGATGAACAATAACGTGGTCTCTCATTTCTGGAAGGTTATGCAGCACAGAAAAAGTGACATTGGACAGATATTTCACCAAAACTGAGCCTGCAGCTAAGAGACAAAGAAGAGAGGAAAACCCTAAAGGAGATCTCCCCAATGTCCTTATGGAGGGGGATTCTCCCTCTAAACAATAACCTCCTCCCTACCGCCTTCCTGTCCTCCACGCCAGAAGTCATCTCAAGCAAGGTTAGTGTTCTCTCTCTTCATACTCTACTGTACTGTACTTTCTTTTTTTTTTTGGCTCAAAAACTAAGAAAAAAAAGTTCAGAATGGAAAACCTTATTTACATTGAAACTTATGGGAAAATTTGATTCGGTTTTCTACCAAATTTGGTTTGCGACCATGTTCGTAGGGGTTGTAGCTGGCCAGCTAAGACCGGTCCTAGGTTGCTAATATGGTTCACATATATGTGTATACCAAACCTGCCAATAACCTCAGTACAGTGTATATGTGCATATGTAAAAGCCAAAAGCAGAATCATTGCTGTAATTTATGTCTTTTGAATGTGATATGACATTTACATATTCAATGTGTTAGCAGAAGCAGAAAAGGAAAATATGCCTTTAAGAGTCAGTACAAGGTGAGCCAATCACAGCCATCCTCACACTGTACAGAGCCTTAACCAATCCCAGCCAGTTTCACATTTGTGCCTGTGTAAAACTCCCTGCTAGATAGTTCTAGAGTCACATGCTCATCAGACAGAAGAGGAAACAGACAAAGTTCCAGTCAGAGAAGCTCTATGGAAACAGGGAAGGCCAAATAGTTCCATCGAAATATACAGAACAAAACAATTCAATGAAGAGTAATCGTAATCGATATTATCCACTGAATCAAGTCACTGTAATACGAATTTAACCATTGTAATACGAAGGAAATAAGTCACTGTAAGATAAACGAAACATGCCATTGTAAGCAGTGTTATATGAAGAAGATTGAAGTTATTAAAGAAGTTAACTAAAGTATTCGGTGTGCTCTTTAAACCTACTGCATCCATAGAGTGGCATTGGAGGAATTACAGAGTAAAGTCAGTCTAATCAAACAAAGAAACAGCAATTGCATAATTTTTCTAATGCCACAGCGCACAAGGCACTACATGGTGCTGCGCTGCCACAGGGGTCATTCAGGTCTGTGA